GGGACAACAATGACTGGATGACTGAGAATCTCCACACAATAGCAATGTGGTTTCACTCATCCTGAGAGACGCCTCAGGCTGGTACATTCTCCTTTTCTTCTCCTCAGGAGAAAAATCTACAAATCAATCTCAGTAGCTGCTTTTTTACCAAGATGTTAAATTATGGTTTAATGTGCTGGCAATTGCTTAATAGTAAAGACCCAAAAAAAACTAATGAAAACAGATTGTAGGTACTAAAGCTTGGTTATACAAGGAAACTCAGAGTAACAAATGTTGTGGTTAATGTTTCCTATCAAAAATCACTCATAAATATTTATAATGCAATATAGTGCAGAGAGGTTTGTGACTAACTTCGCTACTAAATTTGCAAGAATGCTAAATAGCTTAGGCTATTTCTTCTGAAATATATAAAGAATCTTATTAGCAATTTAGCAATCAACAATTATTCTTAGGCCATTCCTTGAACTTTTACTTATGATTAAAATTGTGTTGGGATATACATTACATGCTGCTCAAAATTTATGCTCTTCTTTCTGCAGGAAGAATATGAAAACGCACATAAATTAATGGAGGAGAAGTTGAGGGAAGTAGAGATGAATTTGAAGAATACACAAATGTTGCTTCAGGAAAAAATGTCCCAAATAAAGGAACAAGTGAGTGCAAGGTGGATTTGTTGCTTTCTATAAAGGGAGCAGAAATAGAAATGGAAAAAGTGTTATCTATTGCTTGCCATTTTAAAACAGACAGCTATACAAACAAAAGTTTTCTGGAATGTGTTACAATATATAGACATGATTAAATGACCCTAAAGTATTTGCCTTCCCTCAATCAACAGAACACATTTGAGTATTGAGCAAGCAGACTTCTAACCATTCACTCTACATACTCATATGCACAAGTTCCAAATTAAAGAACAGAGGGTGAAGAATTTATTTCATTACATATCCCAAACATTACTTCCTTTTAATATATTTCACCTTTTTCTTTGTACCGCCGGTCATTATCTGAGCAATACAGGTAGTCTTTGAGATATGACCACAACTAGCAAATTTATGTTGCTAAGTGAAATATTTGTTAAGTGAATTTGCCCCATTTTATGACTTTTCTTGCCACAGTTGTTAAGTGAATCATTGCATTTGTAAAGTTAGTCACATGGTTGCTGAGTGAATCTGGATTCCCCATTGACTTTCCTTGTCAGGTCACAAAAGGGGATCACATGACCCCAGGACGCTGCAACCATCATAAATATGAACCGGTTGCCAAGTATCTGAATTTTGAACATGTGACCATGGGGATGTTGCAGCAGTTGTAAATGTGAAAAATGTTCGAGTCCCTTTTTTCAGTGCCATTGTAACTTTGAATGGTCACTAACTGAACTGATGTAAGTCAAGGACTACCAGTATTTTTCAGCCTAAGAAGGCAATGGCAACTTCTGAAAGTCACGATTCTTAGGTAATTGGCCCAAACTCACCCAGCTGGCTTTGGGCCTAAAGCAGTAATAAAACAACTCCTCTTCCGTTTTCCAGCCCATGCTTTTCAACATTACCCAAAAGTGACTCTCATAACTTTGAATTTGATTACTATATATTATTGCTCAAAATTTCATCTGAAGAAATATTTTAATAAGCTGAGAAATAAAGTGTCCCTTTTTCAGAATTTATAGGGGCATAGCATAATTTCTTTGGGTTACTTTATATGGAATCTCTTCAGAATGAATCATTCTGACAATGAAATTAAAGAGATATTTTAAATTTTTTAGATAAATATTAAACCCATTGTAATCGACTGTTTTGTTATGGGTGTGTTTGAATAGTACTTAATGGAATGTTCTTTCCCTTTTCAGCTTGACAAAAATGCCAAGTCTAATCTATTGCTGAAGGACCTGTATGTGAAGAATGCACATCTGATGAAAATGCTGCAAGTTACAGAGCAAATGCAGAAGAGCACGGAAAATAGGAACTTAATTCTAGAAGAAAAAATTTCATCCCTGAATAAGCTGGTTGGAGAAATCACATTTGCATCTCAATGAATTATTCATTTAAATGAATTGGTTTCTGTTAAACTGTCTTAAGTGGCAATCAGTAGTAAAGACATTAATTGGTCAAGTTGGTTCTACATATTTCAGACTGAATACAAAAAAACTCTTATTCTCAAGAACAGATTATCCATCAGTTCAGAGTGGAGAAAATACAAATGCTATTTTTAAAAAATAGAACAATGAGCAAATACATTTTGGGGGAATTCTGAAGATGGGGAAACACAGGGCCGATTTTATTGCAATAAAAATACAATTTTTTTCCAATGGAAACGATTAATCATTTAGTACCTTCTGGATACATTTCACAGAAAAAGAATGTTCTACACTGTATCATTTGGGGACCAAACATTTATTGCAATTTCAATTTCTTGTCCCCGTCTGTCTGTACACTGGCTAGAGTGTGTGAATGTGTGTGTACATAAACACACAGTTTTATGCAAGTGTAAAATATTGAATTATGTGGTATATTATTTAAGCAGAACTGTAAACAAGAACCTAATAAACTCCTCCACTCTCTTTTTTTGGTTTAGGTATCTGGGACATTTTAATTAAAATAGTATCTCTACAGTTTGTTCTCACTTGATGATTTTTAATTGTATAAATGGCTTTACTAAGCAGACATATATTCCTTTTGCTAGGACGGCAAAAAATATTCATATTCTTTCTGTGACTTTAACGGCCACAGCAGATACTGTGTGTTGTGCCGTCAATGCACTCCTCCTATCTTTAAAAGGAATTTGCTACATTCCTGCTATTAGCATGAAAACATGATTTCACCTGAAAAACCAGTGAGGCTCCCCTTTTCCATCAAAGTTAAAGTGCTATATTTTCATTAGGAACATTAGACTTATGACTGTCATGTCACTATAGGAAAAATATTGAAATGAATTATGAGCTCGAGAGGGGATTACTGTGTGTGTTACCCAAGGGCTGGGAGAAAAGGGCTGAGCTGACTCCCATCCCCAGCTTGAGTTGATATAGGACCCAAACCTGGATGAATAGATTTCAGAGAAAGCAACATAGCTACATTGCTACCAACATTGCCGGCCAGATCTCAGTAATACATCTCAAATCCACGTTCACCATCAAATCATAAATGGATGCCATCTTATTGCATACAGAACTTGCATTTTCCAGTAGCACAAACTCAAAGGCCATAATATTATGCCTAGTAATTAAATCATCCACAAGAAGTGCAATGTTCCAAGGAAAGGCAGGCAAATAGGCAGGGGTGGAATTCTACCAGTTCTATAGAACCGGTTGTTACGATTCTGCACAGTTTGGAGAAAACCGGCAAATCGCGCCACTGGCTGGCCCCTCCCCACCCACCCCGGAGGCTTCCCTGAGGCCCAGTCGGGGGGTATTCAGGGGGTTGGGGGAGGGAGAAGTGGCCTGAGAGCAGAGCTGAACCTTCCTTCGGATTGAAGCTTCTATTTTTCAGTGCAGACTCAGGCAGCAGATCGCAGAAAGGTAGATCTGGGAGTGAAGCTGTGATTCTGCAAGCAGCTCAATCTGCCTGCCTGCTTTGCCTGATTTTGGGTAAAAGTTGCTGTTTTTTAAAAATAAAAATTTCAATCTTTACATATATATTTACAATATTTACATACAAGCTACGCCCAGCCAGTCACATGACCACCAAGCCACACCCACAAATTAGGCCATGCCCACAGAACCGGTTGTTAAAAAAATTTGAACCCCACCCCTGCAAATAGGGATAATAATGCAGGCTGCCATTTCTCCATTCTCAGTAATATCTTGCAGAAGTTGATGAAATAGACTATCCTGGTGTGGGAAAGCTGTTTACAGAAGATATTCTGAATACGGTCCAGGAACCACAAAAAGGCAGTGTGAGGTTGCCTATTCCCTTAGCATTTTTTAAAAAAAACATTCTACACATAAATTACTGTTTTTCTTGGCTCCTTGACTAAAATGGAAACATTCAGTTCAACCTGGGAATGTAGAATTTGTACCTTATCTCAAGTCATGCATGCAAGAAGAGAAAAACAACCCCTCAATTTATATTTTATGCACTCATCAAAGAAGGGAGTTGCCAATCTGTACATCTACACTTGATTTAGATTTTGCAGGGTGATAACAAAGAATAACAAAACTTGAGAAATGCTTATTAAGAAATGGCCCACAGATGCAGCATCAGGAGGATACAAACAGTTCTGGGATACCGTAATTAGCAAGGGGAAATCAATGTACTGTATTTGCACTAATTAGAGAGCAAGAGATTACAAGACAGTAAACAAGCATGTAATGGGGAACACACACTGAAAGGAATGCTTTTGTGCTTTCTTAGCTCCTGGCTGGAGGCAAAAGAAAACATTTAGGCTGAAACTGATTACGATCCTGCCAATTTCAGATAGTAGAAGCTGGCCCAGGGTGCTAGAAACTAATCAAGGTCACTGAGCTTGTTAACACTAAGGGAGATGCCTGTGTTTACACCTTTAAGGAAAATGTTGTGCTGCAAAGAAAAGCAGTTTAGGAGGAGACAGGTTGTTCAAGCAATCTCTTCCCTCTGCAGTGGAGGAAATTCTATTAAGAGGGAAAAGGAAAATATACAGAAAATAGGAGTTAGGCAAACATGCACAAGACAGGAGTACATTACTAGTTGGAATAGAAACCTAAATACCTTTTGATAATTAAATTAATTTTCCTATTTCAGTCCAGCATTTGGCAGAGTTAGACGGACAGAGCTCATTTTGATTGCAATAATAAATACTTTGGGAACTGTACATCCAAGTTTGTTCTCCAAGAACTCCCATCTTTACTATTTTCTGGGCTGCTTGATTGGAATGAGAATTTATGTTTTACATGATACTTTCAAAAGATGAAATATTTTAATTATTTTTGAAAATCTGCAACACTTTCAAAGATGCCTTAACCTGTTTTTTTCTTCCTATTGCATTTAACTTGTTTGAAATTATTGAAGTCATGTTTTTTAAACTTGTTTTATTAATCTACATTAATAATGCACATACTACTTCTTCCATCTAAAATGAAATAAGCTGCTCAAATTGTATTGTTCCGATGTCACTAAAACTACTAAGAAATAGATTATCTTGATTGGTTAAAAACTTACTCTGGAAAATTTTATTATATAACTTTGTGATTTGGGTGGATTCTGCCAGAAATCCACAGGTACTTTTAAGGCGCGCATGGTAATTGAAAACATCACAAAAGTGATTGTAGTCATAACACTTACATCTACTATAGAAATCACATGCAATTTATACATTGTATAAAAATATTTAAATATTTACAAAGGATTATTACATGATTTCAAATAGCACAAAGCAATATATAGTAATTACAAATGAATGTGTTATGGCATTTGGTCCATTAATTTTTTTTATACAAAAAGGCCAGAGAAGACCAAAACAAAGTAACTTTAATCTCAAAAGATAACCAAAGATAGGGATAACAACTGAGGCAATGAACAAAAGCAATCTACTTGTTTTTGGAGAATGGTCTTGTAGGTATCACATCTTTCCTCTTCAAAAAATATTATCTGTGTCCTTCTAATAATAAATTTAAACTTATTTTTAGACTTTAAACTTATTTTTTCAAAGAAAACATCAAAGGAGAAAAAAATTATTGACTTTATTTTGAAATCTGCAAAAATATTTAATTTATGTGTATTTTAGCAGTCTTGTAAATACAGCTTATGATAGGATGTGTTCTAGAATTCCTTGCCTGATTAATTGTTCACATTTCCAGCGTGGTAAGAAATGCTAAAGAGAAAAAAAAGAACTCATTGTCAAATCTAAGGTAATACTTGATTGTCTTTTTTATGCACCATCCAAACCCACAAGGCGACATGAAAAGTAACATGAACTTATGTAGGAATTGTCTGTGCTTCGAGTCTAGACACTCAGAGCAACATCAGCCTCCAAAGCTTAGCCAATAATTGGATTTTTAAGGGAAAATCCTCAAGGACAGGAATGAGATTTTGTGTATTTAATTCTTCTGCATTGAAAAATATGGTTTCCCTCAATCATCTTCCAATGAAAAAATATTTAGTTCATAAAGATATAAATGTAATATCCATTCATAAAAACATAAGTTTAATATCCATTCAATCAAAATGAATTTTGCTGGATTTAATATACCATAATTTCCTTCTAATTAAGTATACCTGGAATTACAATTTAAATGCTCAAGGTGTATTAAATGAGGTGGCACAGAGATAAGAAAGAATGGTTTCATAGATGTGCTGTGCCCCAGACTGACCAAATTCTCTTTTCTGCATAACTTTTTTTTCTTATTTATGGGAAATGGAAAGAATACTTTCTGATGCTGCTTGGAATATTTATTTACTAATAGACAATAATAATAATAATAGATCCTGTCTACTTATAAATACCTGGCTGTTCCTCTTCAACAGAATTGTTGTGCCATCATCAATTTCAAATTCTCCATAATCTTTCAAACACCGAACCTAAAGGAAAAAATAACGAGTAGTGCATACATCATTAAGCCTGTATTAAGAAGTTCTTCTGTTACATAAATTATGCCCTTCTGAGCAGCATAATGAACTAAATTTATTGCAGTGATTACATTAAATAATTTTGTATATTTTGAAGTTTAAAAAAATAGTATATAATCCTCAGTTTTACTTACTTCAATGTACAAGTTTTTGGGAGGTTTAATGTCTTGTGTAAGATCAAGGCCATCTCCTTCTCCTAATGATCTCATATAGGTAGCCAATGACTTTTTATATTGGTTAAACCAAAGCACCTAGATATAAAAAGTTTAATTAATCATGAAGTTAAGTACCACTTATACACTGTTAAGTTAGATATCCTTCCAAACTATTAAAAGACAGTACAAATAAGTGTGAAGTCTGAAATCTCAGAAATTCTACTTAATAACTCAATGAGTTCTAGTTTCTATAGGTCATGTATTGAAAAAAAAACTACATAATTGTCACTGAACTTCATTTGAGAGTAAATTTGTAAACAATTGTGTATTCTTAGTGTATCTGAGAATTAAAGGGGATTCCATCTGCCTAATTATATAAAATCTGAATATTTTGAAACATAGTATTACAATAAGGTTCACACATTTCACAATGTTAGGGTTTGTTGAACTCTATTTTACTGAACAAATCATAATCAGCTATAATTGCATATAAGGCTAAGAATAAGCCATAAATTTTGGTTTATAAAACCAGTACCAGTTTCCAATTTTTAGTGAAATGTTTTCTCACTGACCTAACTGCTAAGCAGATTTTGTGAAAATTCTATAGTATGTTTTAAAAGATATGATTTTTAAATTAATATTTGTATATACTCTTTTATATATTAATATACTCTTCTTATATTCTTATACTTCCAGATTGTTCCCAATCTGATCACACACACACACACACACACACACACACACACACACACACACACAGCTTACTTCATCTGCTGACATGTGAAATCGGACAGCATTTGGCAAGACGCTACCATATTCCCACCTAAGTGCCCGGAGGCGAAGTAAGCGGTCATACCTAAATATAGTAACAGTGAAAACATATTTAATTCACTATTTCTAATAGGGCTATGCATCACTTTGGATTTGAAAGAAAAAGAGGTGTTTTGAATTGGGTAGAGTGGAAAATGTAACTTTTCCCATGGGATTCAAAGGAGCTGCAAAGAGTAACTGCACAATCCTAAGGGTGTGGGTGTGGGTGGGGGGAAGGAGAGGAAACATTTCTGCTTTAAGGAGTTGCAAACAGGTATGATATATTCTCATTCTGTTGCACTCCAAAACAGTATTTTCTTTCAAGTCCAAAGTCACAGCCCTATTTTTCATCAAAACTATTGAAATTTAAAAGCTACACAAATTTATTACACAGGGATAAATTTTGTTCTAATGTTATAAAAATACACAGGTCATTTACTATGCAAGAAACAAGTAAAGTTGCAGCTTTTTGGAATATCTACAAAAGTCCTTACCCATAGAATATGATCAATATTAGGACAATTAATAGTGAATGAGTGCCTTACAATTTTCTGTGCACAATCACTCCAATCATTAAATAATACTGCTGATAAATTCTAGCTAAATACATGTACGTATTTTCTTTATGTAAAGCTATTTACAGAGTATTTAAAGATAGTTCTTGACATGATCACAATGGAACTCAAAATTTGTTGCTAAGCAGCACTTTTGTTAAGTGGGTTTTGCCTCATTTTATGATTTTGAGCTTTCTTGCCATATTTGCTAAATGAATCACTGCAGCTGTTATTTTAATTGTATGATTGTTAAGTAAATCTGGCTTCTCCATTGACTTTACTTGTTGGAAGGGCAGAAAGGGTGATCACATTGCAACTGTCACCAATAGAAGTCAGTTGCTAAGCATCTGAATTTTGATCACGTGACCCTGGGGATGTTGCAAGTGTCAGTGTCAAGGTGTAAGTGTGAAAAATGATCATGTCACTTTTTCAGTGCTGTTGTAACTTCAGACAGTCTCTAAATGAAGTGCTGTAAACTGAGGAGTACCTGTACTGCCAGATTATCATGATATAGCTACGAATCTGAAGTCTTGTACAATTCCATTAAAATATCAATCTCAAAAGAGAAACAATCTGATTATGGAAGAATTGAGAATTATTTCACAAAGGACCACTAGACACTTACAAGTATGCAACAACACATCTTCGGTTTCTCAACAGAGAGCAATGACGGAATTTGATTGTTGTAATCAACTCACTGTGACCTGACTTGGCTTCATTTCTGGTAATGATAGTAGAACTATATTAGTTAAATATATTTTGAACTCAAAACACACAACATACAATTGGCTCGTGCTATTAGTGTCAGTGCTCTGGTATTCACTCCCATTTAAATCATGAGCCTCTAGCCAGATCTTTCAGAGCTTAAAGGAGATTTATTAGGAGTGAACATGCCGGTGCTACCTGGGTGTAGCCGACTCTGAGACACATCATTCATTTCACCCTTGACCCTGGTCCTCCCCCATCCCCTGGGTGTATATTCTCCAATGGGACACATCCATAGCCAAGAGTCATCAATCGTGCTCTCCAGTTATAATTTTGCCCACCTGAAACTTCGGTAGCTTAGAAATTATCTATGAAAGCATTTAAGGAATGCACTACTTCCCCTTCTCCCTTTCTGCTGGCAACTCTTAAAAGACCAGAGAAATATTTTATGAGTTGACAATTAGTTTATACTTATTATATACAGTAAGCTTCAAGTTTCATCTCAATTTTGCTATGAATTGCAAAGACTTGCAAAAGGTCTGAATAAAAAATGGAACACAGTGTTTTCAATATTAAACAAAAATCAATTAAAAAATCAAATCAGCATAACTGCAAATTTACAGGAGGGAAATTCAAATGTATTAGAAAGTACTACTTCACAGAAATAGTGGAAGCTTGGAACTAACTTTGGTTGGGATAAACAAATGCCCATCATCTGACAAAAATTTAAAAAATAAAAAATGCAATAACCCCTCCCCCCCTAAAAAAGGCAGATTTGATGACCACTAGAACTTTTTCTGTTGTTAGTTTTCTTTGTTTCTAATTTAGGATAGGATATTTTTGTACTGAAAAAAAAATCTATAGAAGATTGTTCCCACATTGCTCTTCTAGCATGCAATTACTGTATACTTTTAGACTCTGAATTCATAAAAGCTAAACAAAAAGTACACTCTGCCTTGTTTTGTGAAGAATCATTTATTTTGCAAAGATAGAAGGACTTTACAAGCAGCCCAAAGCAATCTTACCACTTTTACTCTTTTCTAAAATTCAATGCAAAGGAAGTATACAGTGACATGGAATCTAAGTCATATTGTGCATTTGCTAGATAAAGTGGCGTTAGGTATATACAAATAATCCTCAACTTACAACCACAATTAAGCCCAATGTTTCTGTTGCTAATGAGACATTTAAGTGAATTTTGCTCCATTTTACAACCTTCCTTACCACAGTTGTTAAGTGAATCACTGAAGTTGTTAATAACATGGTTAAGTGAATTTGGTTTCCCTGTTGTCTTTGCCCATTGGAAAGTCTCAAAAGATGATTACATGACCCCAGGACACTGCAACTATCATAAAAATGAGTCAACTGCCAAGCATCTGAATTTTGATCATGTGATCATGGGGATGCTACAATGGTTTTAAGTATGAAAAATGATCATGAGTCACTTTCTTCAGTACCACTGTAACTTTGAACGGTCACTAAATGGACTGTTGTAAGTCGAAGACTATCTGTACTACTACAGATAGTCTTTGACTTACAACAGTCCATTTAGCGACTGTATCTTTCTCCAAAATGTTCATCTGCATCAGAAGATGAGTGTAGCAATAGCAATATCACTTAGACTTATATACCTCTTCACAGTGCTTTTACAGCCCTTTCTAAGCAGTTTACAGGGTCAGAAAATTGCCCCGAACAATTCTAGGTCCTCATTTTACCTATCTTGGAAGGATGGAAGGCCGAGTCAGCCTTGAGCCTTTTGAGATTTGAACTACCAAACTATAGGCAGACAGTAGTCAGCAGAAGTAGCCTGCAGTACTGCACTCTAACCACTGTGCTACTGTAGTGTTCATGATGAGTCAACACATTTGTCATTATTAAAGTAAAACAGTTATTGATTGATTTGATATTGCTTTCTTTGGGGAGTTTAGTTGTTTTTAATTTCCAATCTAGATTATATGCCTGATGTTTCCTAGTAGTTCAGTCTAACCAGGCTCAATGCTGCTAACTTCTGAGCTCAAACAAGCTGCCGCCTGCTTGGATTCTGGTAGCTATATTTAACTGCATTTTTTTTTCATGCAAAATGTGAGCCATTTTTTAAATATTTAAACTATTTTATGTAGACAAATTATTCTTTTATTGATGAGACTGACTTACACATCAATTTGGTTCTGCTCATACAATGCTTTCATCTCTTCAAGTACTTGTCTGATCCCATCTTCCTGGAAAAAAAAACACCAAATACAATGAATATTTAATTACTAAACTAATTAATTCAAGTCACATGTTTCAGCAAATAAAAATATAACTTTCAAAATATAATTTTTATTTAAAGATTTTACATATGCCTGAAAACTACAAAAACATAAAAGGCAAATAGAAAAATAAAATATAAAAGAATAAAAGCAAAAGTGAAAGAACAAAAAAGAGAAAGATATTTAAAGAAGTCACTTCTGATCTTCCTTGTAGCAGTTAAAAGTATAATGATAACAATCTTCCCCTTTCAAAATTATGTACCAAGGTTCTGTATTTTTCCATCTTTGTGCATACAATAACCTTGCTGCAGTTTCCATATATTAAAACAATTGTCCATGAGAATTTACTTGACTGTCCATAAATCCCACTATGAAATTTATTTTAAAAAATGGTTTCATATGAATGTGAAAAAAATCTCTGCATTACCATATGTATTGTGTTTTACAAATGCACCAAACATAATAAAATGTCCTTTCAGGTTTTTCACATGAAAGGACATTTTATGATGTTTGGTGGGTTTGTAAAGTAGATATTGGACACAAATACATATGGTAATGTTGAGAATTTTTTCACATTTCTAAGAGTGATTGATTGAGATATCTTATTGAAAAAATGTAGACAGGATTGGATGCAATAGCACAGGGCTGTCAAACTTCCGGCCTGTGGGCTGGATGCATCACGAACTGGCCACACCCACATCCGGTTTAGCAAACAGGAAAAAAGTCCCGATACATCATGTGATGCTGCCATGATGACGTGAGTTAGACACTCCTGCACGATCAGATGCCTACCTTTGGGCCTGGAGGAAATGTGGCCATCCTGTTTATTTTAGATAATGCTAACTATGATATCCTTCTGGACTGCTTGTGAGAGTTGGGGATTAGGGAACCATTTTGCGGTGGTTCTTCTTCAGTGTGCAGCTTCAGCTGATGGGCAGGGAGGAGAGATTGGCTGGATAACTACTCCCTTGTGGGGATGTTACAAAGATTGGTTCTTTCCCACTCTAATTCACCATTCACATGAAGTCATTGGAAGAATTAATCTGGTGGTTTGGGATTCAGTATCGTGAATATGCTGGTGATACTCAGCTTTAAAGTGTTATGCTAGCTCAGGGGTGTCAAACTTTATTTCATTGAGTAACGCATCAAGGTTGCATTTGACCTGGGGGGGATGGGTGTGGCCAGCTCAACAAACTGTCGGAGGTGCCTGTGGTGTCTTGAGTGATTGTTAGTGAAAAAGGGCTCCTGAGCTCTGTTTTCATCTGTGATGGAGGAGGGAGGAGGAGAAGAAGAAGGAGAAAAAGGAGGAGGAGGAGGAGGAGGAGAAGGAGGAGAAGAAGAAGAAGAAGAAGAAGAAGAAGAAGAAGAAGAAGAAGAAGAAGAAGAAGAAGAAGAAGAAGAAGAAGAAGAAGAAGAAGAAGAAGAAGAAGAACCCACACAATCATTCAGTCATTGGGCCAAAGGTCCGCTATTGGAGAGAGAAAGAAAGCTGATTTAGTGCCAGCTGCCCAACCCTCTCTGCTTTGCTTCATTAAGAAAGAAAGCTGATTTAGTGCCAGCTGCCCAACCCTCTCCGCTTTG